AGGGGGATTCATCCCAGGGGTGAAAGAAGGATGGTTCAATATTCGCAAATCAAAAATGTAATGTATCACATAAACAAAAGCAAAGATAAAAATCACACGATCATATCAATAGATGCAGAAAAAGCACTTGATAAGGTACAGTACCCATTTATGATAAAATCACTCAGCAAAGTGGAAGGAGAGACAGCATACCTCAACATAATAAAGGCCATATGAGAGAGACGTACAGCCAACATCATAGTCAATGGGCAAAAACGAAAAGCTTTCCCACTAAGATCAGGAAAAAGACAAGGATTTCTGTTTTCACCACTCCTATTCAACATAGTATTGGAGGTCCTAGCCACAGTGATCCCACAAGAAAAAGAAATAAAAGGCATCCAAATTGAAAAGAAGGAAGCAGAAGTATCACAATTTGCAGATGACATGAGAGTGTACATGGAAAAGCCTATAAGCTCCACAAAAAAATGTACTCGACCTAATAAGTGAATCTGGCAAAGTAGCAGGATACACAGTCAATATGCAGAAATTAAAGGCATTTTTTTTACACTGACAATGAAATATGAAAAACAGAAGTCAGGAAAAATTCCCATTTGCTAGAGCAACAAGAAAAATAAAGTATCTAGGAGTGAATCTAAGCAAGGAGGTAAAAGACCTGTACTCAGAAAACTACACAACACTGAAGACAGAAATTAAAGATGACACAAATAAATGGAAGCATATACCGTGTTCATGGATTGGAAAAATGAACATCATCAAAATGTCCATATTACCCAAAGTAATTTATAGATTCAGTGCAATCCCTATTAAAATACCAATGACATATTCCACAGATATAGAACAAACATTTCAAAAATTTATCTGGAACCATAAATGACCCTGAATAGCCTCAGCAAATACAGAAGAAGATCCAAATAACAGGTATCATTATACCAGTTAGCAAACCACATTACAAGGCCATGGTAATCAAAACAGTCTGACACTGGCATAAAAACAGACACATAAATCAATGGAACAGAACAGATAGCCCAGAAATAAACCTATGTCTCTATGGTCAATGAATATTTGACAAAGGGGGAAGACACATAAAGCAGAGTGAAAAAGTGCCTCTTCAACAAATGGTGTTGGGAGATCTGGACAGCTACATGCAAAAAAAAAAAAAGAAAGAAAGAAACTCAACCATCAACTTACGTCATACGCAAAAACAAATTCAAGGTGGATAAAAGACTTAAATATAAGTTGTGACACCATAAAAGTCCTGTAAAAGGACATAGGCAAGAAAATCTCAGATATAACATGGAGCAATGTTTTCACTAATATGTCCCCTAGGGCAAGAGACAAAAAGGAAAGAATAAAGAAATGGGACTTCATGAAATTAAAAAGCTTCTGCACAGCTCAAGAACACATCAGCAAAATGAAAAGGGAAGCAACTGTATGGGAAAATATATTTGCCAATGATACCTCTGACATGAGTTTGATCTCCAAAATATATAAAGAACTCACACAACTCTACTGCAGAAAGACAACCCATCCAATTAAAAAATGCAAAGGACATGTACAGACACTTCTCCAAGGAGGACATACAGAGGGCCCACAGACATATGAAAGGATGCTCAGCATCACTAGATATCAGAAAGATTAAAATTAAAATCACAATGAGATATCTTTTCACACCAGTGAGAGTGGCCATCATAAACAAATCAACAAACAATAACTGGTGGCAATGTTGTAGAAGAAAGAGAACTCTAGTACACTGGTGGTGGGAATGCAGAAGGGTGCAGCCACTGTGGAAAACAGTATGGTATTACCTCAGAAAGCTAAAAATGGAACTGTCTTTTGACCCAGTAATTCCATTGCTGGGATATACCCTAAAAATTCTGAAACACTAATTCAAAAGTACCTGTGCACCCTAATGTTCGTAGCAGCAGAATTTACTATAGAAAAGTGCTGGAAGCAACCTAGGTAAATGAATGGATCAAAAAACTGTGGTACATTTACACAATGGAATACTACCCAACAGAAAGAAAGGAGCTCCTACATTTTGCAACAGCATGCATGGAACTCCAGGACATGTTCCTATGTCCTATGCTAAGTGAAGTAAGCCAGTCTGTGAAAGACAAATACCAGATGATCTTACCTATAAGTGGATCCTAATCAACAAAACGAACAAGCAAGCAAAATATAACCAGAGACACTGAAATAAAGAACAATCTGACAGTAACCACATGGGAGGTGGGAGGGTATAATGGGCAAAAAAGGGGAAGAACTGTCAAGGAACAAAGGGCACAAGGGCAAAACTAAAGAAGGAAAGACTAAGGGTAGGAGGTGAGGGTGGGTAGGGTACCCAAAAGTGGTGGCAGGAAAATGGGGACAACTGTATTTGAACAACAATAAAAAAAAAAGTCCATACTACCCAAAGCTATGTATAGATTCAATGTAATTCCTATCAAGATTCCAAGGACATATTTCACAGAACTAGGACAAATATTTCAAAGATTTATACAGAACCAAAGAGACTCCACATAGCAAAAGTGATCCTGAGAAAGAAGAAAAAAATTGGAGGAATCACACTACCTAATACCAAACTATACTATAAAGTCACAGTAATCAAAACAACACAGAACTGGTAAATGGACACACAGATCAATGGAATAGAATACAGAACCCAGAAATAAACCCACACCTTTACAGCCCAGTTAGTATTTGGAAGCAAACAGAGGAAGCAAACACATACAATGAGCTAAAGATAGTTTCATCAGTAAATGGTGCTTGGAAAATTGGACAGATGAGTGCATAAAAATGAAACTAGACCACCCTCTTACACCACAGACAATAAATTCAAAATGGATCAAAGACTTAAATGTTATTCCAGAAACTATAAAAGTCCTAGAAGAAAACACAAGCAGCAAAAATCTTGGACATTGCCAGTAGCAATATATTATCAAATATATCTTCCCAGGCAAGAGTAACAACATAAAAAATAAACAAATGGGACGACATCAAACTAAAAAGTTTTTGCATGGCAAAGGAAATCATTGACAATAAAAAGACAACCCACAGAATAGGAGAACATATTCACCAATACATCTGATAAGGGATTAATATCCAAAATTTATAAAAACTGTTTTGAGCAGTGGAGAAAACATCAAGGTAGGTGTATGGCATCAAATGGAACGTACTTTGAAGGTGACTGAAGTTTAAACATGTAAGAATAAATACACAATTTTTTTTGTAAATAAATTCCATTTTGGAGGGAATAGATAGATAAATAGATGATAGATATATATCCATCCATCCCCATAATATTCCCTAGTTGGAAGGGTATACGTTCTGACTTAAAAACAGACATTGGTTGATTAGCTATCCCTACCACTTGCACAGAAGGTTTACTCCAACTTAGGTGTGTTAAGAACAGATAAAGTAGTCCAGTAGATCAAGGGCCTTAGAAATTTTCCCCTTTTTTATGGTAATTTTAATTTCTCCTAAACCAGTAATAAGAAGGGGAAATGCTTTCTCATCATCCTTGGAGCAACCCTATACTTGCTTCTATAAACCACAATGAGATACCTCTTTTCTCTTTCTAAATCAGTGTCCCTATTTCAGTGTCTCTAAATCAGTCTTCCTATTTCAGTGTCCTACAATCCTCCTTAAAGTGAACAGACTCCTCTAGAGATTTCCTGCAAACCTTATTTGGTAATTCTGTTGTTTTTGCTCCCAGAAATAGTAGGTATATTAACTGGAAAAGGTCAGAACATCCAGGATTACATGTTTTAACAGTTCAATTAAATTTCTTTATGAACCCATTCGGGTCCTGGAGAAAATCACGAAAATCTTTAGGTAGTTACCTTAATTCTGTTCAAGTCCAAGGAATATATACAATGGCTGATTGCCCTCTGCCTGAGACCAGCTTTTTTTCCAAGGGGAGCTGCTAAAATTCCTGGATTATCCTTGTCTGAATTCTTATTCTCATTTTCTCTTAGGTCAGTAGGGAATGGTAATGGAGAAGATATACAGAAGATAGAAGGGAGGTGGAGGGCAAGTTCAAACAAGGAAGCTCAGAGAGCAAACACAGTGAAGGGAACTGTAGAAGGGGAGGATTGAGGGGTTGGCACAGATTGGCTTCAGAAGCCTTCTTTAGCTCGGAGACAGTCTCTAAAATTTCTTATTACTTGTTTTTTTTTTAAGAACTTATCTGTCCTCCTCCTAGAAGCTTCTAATTTCCAATTAAGATATGCTCCCTATTTAGTTTAACTACAGAGCCGGCATTTTCTAGTTTTGCATGCAAAATTAATTTAGGCACCAAAAGAAAACTACATTTTGGCCATTTTAAGTTGATGTCTTTTCCAGCTAAATCTTCCCACTTCTGTAAAGTACTTGTAAGTAAAGTCTTCCTACTTATTGTGTATCTACAGAAGTATTAATGTAGGCTGGGGTCTGAGGGTTTCTGGCCTTGGGGGCAGGATTTCCCATATTAATTTTAGTTTTATTTTGGAATCTGTAGTCTGGGTTGAGAGGGTGCTACCTGTGGGTTCAGCTCCAAGGGGCTGTCACCTCCCGAGTCATCTCGAACCCTCTTACATGGCTCAGTTTCTGTTTCCCGGCAGTCTAATATGGTCGTGAGTACTCAGAATGCTAAGTAACAAAACACTATGTGCATGTCCTGGACAAGTCAAATAATTAGTCGAGTCAGAATCCCTGATGGAGCTCCTGCACATCACGGGGGATACCTCCTGACAGTTCCACAAAGATTCTTAGTCTCCGAAGAACACCCAAGATTCCAGCTGGATTGAGGAAGTGCCCCTTTGGAGCAGAATGAGTTCAGGTTCTCATTTATCCAACAAAAGGTTTTTGATCAGACTCTCAGAAAGCAATTTCAATTGAAAAACCAGTTAAAAACCAGCCACCCACTTTTCCTCCAGTCCTGCCTTAGCCTAGATTCTCTCTCAACCCTTAACCTTGAGGATTTTAAAAAATACAGCTCAAATAAAATCAAGGCCTCTTACCTTAAAACAGGGAGGTCTGGAATTCCACGTGAAAATCAGCCAAGTTCACCTGATGCAAAACAAGGAGCACAATGGGCTCCTGCTGATACCTAGCACAAGTGCAGGTCTGCAAGGTCCCCTGGGTGGGCTTCTTTGGAATGCTGCCAACTACACCAAATAAATGTCAATGTAAGAAACATTACATATTATTTGAGGCAAATTAACAACAATTGCCAGACGGCAAAACTCATGATAGATTGAGAAAATACACCAGAAAATAGCAGTTTTACCACTTACTATATACATAAAAATCAAAGGAGGAGGCATAAGGGGGTTACTGGTGATAGAGTAGGGAAGCAGGAAAAATCAAAATGGGGAAATATCTGGAAATGGATAAAAAGTAAAATGAACAGACAGGTAAGGCAGGTAAGTTCATTTACATTTATGGATACAGGGTAATTAATGGTCAAAATTAACGTAACAACGAGGGGATTTGTGCACTCTCCCCTGGTTGAGGTGATTGTGCTTTGAGGGGTCTTGAAAAAGGGAAATTACTTTAATATTCCAAAAATATGTTATCAGGTATGTTAGAGGCAAAAAGACAACAGATAGGCTCAGTTAAGGTGAAGAATGACCTTTGTCAGGAAAGATTCTAGCCTTGGACATGACTGTTTGCCATGAACTGCTTTTAGTAAGAAAGTTTTCATTTCAGACCATCCTAAGTAGTAACTTTGGTCTCTGAGTTTGTAAGGCTGCCACACATGCTTCCCCTGAACTTTTCTGGTTTGGCATGTGCTCCTTTTTGTCCACAAGTTGCTAAGAATTACTGATAAAGCTCTTTTGAGACTGAGGAAAACTTAAACTTCGTAAGTTACAAATGAGAAATTTCAATGTTTGAGTCAAAAATCCAATGCAGGATAGATAGCAGGTCACTGAAGACACAGCTACATATTCCAATAATGGCACAAAACATACTATCACACTAACAGTATCACCTCAAAGCCTTTATTCCCTTCACTCAAGGCAGTGAAACTAAGGGTCCTTATGACCTAATTAAATGTAACTCTAAATCCTTGCTCTAGAAATCATATCTCTCACTCTCTCTCCAAACCGCTTAAGAGACCTAACCTTCCTGCACCCCCTCCATAATCAGCAAACCCTGAGGAAGAAGACAATAGCCAACACCTGACTAATAGTCACAACGTCTGGATCTCTGACAGGCTAAAGCTAACATCTAGACCTAAGTTACATTTCTGTTCCTGAGCCCTAAGGTGGAACAACTTTCCAGCTACTTGCCCATGAGGCCAAACAGAGGGACAATAGAACAGACCTCAGAGCTGTCCTCAAGACCTAAAGAAATGATTTACCACCTTTACCTCACCTCCAATCAATCAGCTCCCAGCATAACCCCAAACTCCTAACCCATGGTGTCTTGTGATTTCACCCTATATAATTTATAACATATTTGTCACTCAGGAGATTGGGTTTTTAAGTTTAGCTTCTAGTCCTTCTGAGTGACACCATTCACAGTAAAATAGCCAATTTTGGTCCACTACAATTCTCAGTATTTAGTGTTTGGCTTTGCTAATGCCGGGTAAATGAACTCTTTCTGTTCTATAACACCATGAAAGAAAGTTCTATCACAAGCAGTTCGCATCTGGCCATGATCTGACCCTCACTAGATTACTGGGTAGCAAGCAAAAACCTTAAAGTGTATAAGACTACCCTATTCCAATGTTTTACTGAAATAAAGCCCAAAATTAAACTTAAAAGTTCTAAGAATTTTAGGGAAGGTGGCAGAATAACACCAAAGGTCTCTACACACCACCCACTAAAAAATGTCTGAGACAAAGTTTTATAATCTAGAGCTGGTGTGTTAAGACTATAAGCTTAATAAAAAGTATATCAAAATGAAGCCCTGGCTGGCGTAGCTCAGTGGATTGAGCGTGGGCTGCGAACCAAAGCATCCAGGTTCGACTCCCAGTCAGGGCACATGCCTGGGTTGCAGGTCATGGCCCCCAGCAACTGCACATTGATGTTTCTCTCTCTCTCTCTCTCCCTCCCTTCCCTCTCTAAAAATAAATAAATAAAATCTTTTTTAAAAATCTTTAAAAAATATATCAAAATGAATTTAAAATAGTAAATGCAACATAATAAAGCAGTTAACTACCAGAAAATATGTAAGCAACTACCAAAAGTGAACAAAGTCATAAAACACACAAACATATCCCACAGACTAGACAGAGTTTATTCAGAAACAAAAGACTCTGTTTGTTTTTAAAATTCCCTAGAATAATTTGGAGCATGGCTAGAGATAATAAAAAATAAAATCAATGTTACATAACAAATAATAAATAAGAAATGCTGCAGATAAGCAGACAATGAAATTCAAAGTATAAATGTGTTTTAAAAAAGTTTTAATTCCCCTGGCTAAAAGTATTTTTTAAAAGAAAGGTTTTATTAGGTCCTTTCGAGAGGGCAAGACAAGGTCCTTGGGCATGAAGTCTGAAACACCCGCAGTAGGGCCAGGTGGAAAGACAGCATGTCCACTGTCCTAGAGTTTGTTGATCATTTTCATAAATCAAGTAGCAAGGGAGAAAAATGTGAGCTTTATGAAAAAAAAAATATAATAGCTATAGACAAAAGGAGATGGGAAAGCTAAAGCAGGGCCGTTCTGGGATAAATGCAGAGTCCAAGGAAGAAGTGTTTGCTCCCTTGAATAGGTTGTGGGCAAGTCTGAAAAGTTCATGTGTAAATAAGGAGAGGCTCCTGGGGTGTAGTGCTGCCTCCACAATTCTCTCTTTTGGATGGCACAGAAATAGCCACTTGTAAATTAATCCAAAATTCTAACAGACCTTCCAACAGAATATGAGCAGTACTTTGTTAGCTGGTCCACAACTATTAATAGGGCAACCAATCTGTCTCTTTTTCTCACTCTCTGGCTGCTGTAATTTAATTTAGAACATCTCAGAATTCTTTCTCTTGTCAAACACTTTAAACATAATGAAACAGGAGGAACAAACTTAAAAGCACAAAAATACAACCTGTAAATAATAATGCTACAAGGAAAAAAACAACAGAAAATAGCACATACAAGTCATAAGTGCTTTACGTGAATTATTTCATTTACTTCTCACAGCAGTGCAGAAGTTAGAGAGAAACTTTTATCTCCATTTCACACATGGCTTAGAGAAATTAAGCAACTTGCCCAGATTTCACAGCCATATTTCACTAAATATGATAGCCTGTTGGAGGCTTACAAGGTGAACCTAAACTAAGCAGTTTTTTTCTTTTTTATCTCTCTGTAGCATTGCTGTTGGAAAGACAAAACCTGGTGTGTCATTCACCTTGTCATGGTAGAGTTATTAAAATCTCCATGAATAAACAAGATAACGTGGACTCCACATTTGAGATATTAAATAGTAACAGGCTTTTTACTGCATTTTTGTCTATATGGAGGACATCTGATCAAAGTAATTGATATACTTGCTAAAAATTCAAGAAAAATCATTATTTAGATATTTCCAAAGTGGATATTTTAAGGCAGTAGGATGTACCTCAAAATGTTGGGTCCAATTTATAACTAATATTTAACTTTATCATTTTGAGTTCACTTGCAAATTTCTATCACAAGCCACAGAAAGATATTCCATTTTAAAACTACAGTCCATACCTTTCACTATTGTAACTGTAAAAAATTATAGCTACATCTTTAAATTATTCCAGTTGATTATTCAAGGTGATTTTCAAACATGCAACTTCAAAGGTTAGAGCCAAGAAGAAGAGCAGAGTGAACTCCAGGTATCCCCAACAATGCTACCCAGTGGGAGAATGGGCCCCTATGGAAAGCTGATGGAGCCTGATGCTGTAAAAGTCCTTGGCCAAATGCAAATGCTTAGCCAGGAGGGAAGAGATATGCTGTAGACTGAAGGCCAATATGTGCAACTTAGAATCCCAAGGAGCAGAGCAATAGCGAGGAGCCAAGGCTGGTCAGGAGTGAGTGAGAAGGTAACATGAGGCAGGTGGGGCTCAGCTTAACACAGCCAGTCATTAGGCAAATTAGGTGAACCAAGCCTGATTACTGGGAAAAGGGCCTGAACTAATGTTTACATTTTCCAGAAGATTCAGAACCTGAGGAAAGTTAAGGAATACCTGTGCATATTCCTTTGCTAACAGGGCAAATACACAAATACTGAAAATACTCAGGTAACAAAAGGGAAAGAGATTTGTTTGGGTTCTTTCACTGATGATAAAGGGAAGTGTGAGTCTGACTGGCTTGAGAGATGGAAAACACCTTCACTGAAGTAGAGAAATAGTCTACTTCCTCTAGTTCCTCCAAGTGCTCTTCAATGCTTGTCTTGCAGAAAACAGTGTCTGATCCTGACAGATGCAGAAAGAAGAGTGGAGGAGGGCTCAAGGCCATAGCTGCCCAGAGCCCATCTTGAGCAATCATCACACTGTATGGAACTGACCTGCTTACATTTCTGCCTCCCTCACTGGATTGTGGACTCCTTGAGGGTTTGCAGTAGTGAAGCCATGATTAGAATTACAAGCACATGGGTTACAGGCCAGGCCCTCAGGAGGGGGTGCTCAAGAGGCAACCATACATTGCTGTTTCTCTTCCTCCTTTCCCCTCTCTAAAAATAAATAAAATCTTTAAAAAAAAGTATTACAGGCACAGACGCCAGTCATTTATCGCAGGACAATTCTGTTTGCTACTGCCCAGGAACAAGCAACTCAAAACTTAGTTGCTTAAAGAGCAATGATTTCCTATTTCACAATTCCATGGGTTGGCTAGGTAGCTATTCTGAAGCTCTTATCTAACTTACTCACACTGCTGTACTGGGCCCAGGACAGCTGGGGATTGGGCTAAATGAGGAAGGCAGGGCCTCACTTTCCATGTAGCCTTCCTCCTAGGCTTCTTCACATAGTGAAAACAGCATACTGGCACACTGCACATATGGCCTCTGTTTGCATCATGTCTGCTGATGTCCCACTGGCCAGTTCAAGTCACATGGCAAAACTCAGAGTCAAGAGTAGGAAAACAGACTCTACTACTCGATGGGAGAAACATGCAGAGTCACACTACAAAGGGGTAAAGACATGGAGAGGTGATTTAGGGGCCATTTTGTATCAATTTACCACATTGGGTTTTTGCTAGCTTTTTC